GAACACTAGCTTTTATATCTTAGATCCATCACTTTTACTTTTCCCATACCAATGTATGTTGAGAGAGAGAGAGAGAGAGAGAGATAGAGAGAGAGAGAGAGGGTTACTTATATATGTTGTGAACACTAGCTTTATATCTTAGATCCATCACTTTTACCATTCCCATGCCAATGTATGTTTGGTTGGAGAGAGATTTGGGTCGTTTATAAATGTTGGAGATACTTACACCAGCTTTAAGTCTTTTAATTCTTTGTACCTCTTAACTCCTACTATTGCTTTTGTTAATGTAGGTGTGGTTATCCAGCCATTAATGCTTCTTACTATGATTTGAGCTTTCATCCAGTCAGTGGCAACAGGGATTGCAAGCTCTACAAAAACTCCCCATCTATAAAATGCTACAACTGCGATTCCTGCAAGTTTGGCCTATATCTTAATCTTTCATCTTCATTTCTCTTCTTTTACGTTCCCCCCCCCCCCCTTTCCTTTCTTTAGGTCAATTTTTGGGAAATTTATGTAAATATTCTCCCGTTTTGAAAAAATATAACATTTAAAAATTGTCCCATTATTTTATATTTTATATTCTAGTATTTCAAATTTTTTTTTTTTTAACATCGGATTGAACTCAAATTTTCGGTGTCCATACTTCTCACCATAAAGCTCATGAAAGAAATACAAAAATAATAATTTTAAATAAATAAGAATAATCAAAATACCTCCAAAATTTCCCAAGATTTTTTGGTGTCTTTTATTTAAGGAAAAATGTTTCATGCGGTAGGGACCGCCTTTCTACATTTGTGGTCCACGAGGTATAAAGCATCCATCTTAAAGATATATGCAAATAGGTGGTCCATCTAAAAAAAAATTGAAACTAATGGTCCAAATGTTTTCTTAATAGAATTATTATTTTTAATTTTCAAATTTTATTTATTTATTCATATTCATGGTCTCGATGTTAGAGATTACATGTCCTTAAAAATTGGGTCCAAAAATCCATCTCAAAAATAGATTTTTAAGATGCGACTCATTTCAACATGGGCTCATAGAAACTGTGTCCTTTATTTAATTTTTTTTATATTTTTCCTAGATGCATGATAGTGAGAAGTATGCAAACCCAAAAATTGAGGGCAATCCGATTCATAAAAAATAAAAAGAAAGATAAATTGAACTGTGAGTTGTGCTGTTAACAAATGAGATATGAACTTAAAATATAAATTATTGGGGATAATTTTTAAGTTTAAAAAAATATGGGGATTTTAACAGATGTTTCCCTTAATTTTTACTTGTATTCTTACCCTTTAAAATGTGAATGCTAGAGCTGGAGTAGCACAACATTTGAGAACAGAATGGAGGTTGGTGGCAATTTTTGATGTCATTCTTTTTGTTGTTTTGGTAAGTGGCACTTTTTTTTTATGTTTGGAAATTATTTTCATTTAGAATCAAATTCTGCTCTTTCCTTTTCTATATATTTTCTTTATACAGTTTTCTGATTTTTTCCTTCATAATTGGGTATTTGCATTTGTATTATGGAACACTGTCAATAAAGATCTGCAACATTCTTCCAATATCACAAAAAAATAGCCATGCATGTATTTTTTATCAGAAAGTAACATGGCATTTTTGCCTGTTCATAAAGGATTTAAAGAGGTAGAGTTACTTTTGTGGCCCTTTATTGAACAAATTTATATCATTAATAGGGATCATTGTATTTGAGGTGTCTATGTTATTGGTTCTTGCATCTTTCAAAGAAGGTAATTTGATAAATGCTTGTGATATTTGCAGAAAACTGAATATACTTTCTGATAGTATCCCATAAAGCAATTTCGTTGAATGCGTAGTTATTTTTAACAGATGAATTGCGTATGTTTTAAACAAAATTTCATAGTAAGTTAGCCCATTCCAAAATTTCACCAAATGTGTAAAGTGTTATGCTTGAACTTTTGTGTTCATTTTCTCTTTTTTGTTGGATGCAATGCAATGGTGTCAGTCGGCCCTTTATTTTGTCGGTTGCTGTGCGAGAAGAAGCGCTGCTCGGGCTCGGTCAGCCAAAGCTCGGCGATGACATGAATTTACCAGGAAGGTTTTTATTCAAAGAAATTTTGAGTGGTAGTTATGAGGCCTTTATTTCAATTTGCAATGTATGCTCTTTTTGGATTTTGTTTTTTTTGGATTTTTTTTTGGTCGCGAGGGAAGGAAGAGAGAGCTTATGGTGGTTCAATTTAAAGATTTACGTATAGGGCTTGCAGCGGGTTTGGTCTGGCCGGATTTGGACTTGGACCCAAATCCAGAAAAATTTATGGGACCTGTATCCGACCGAACCCGAAGATATCGGACTCATACCTGGACTTGATTGGACTTGCACCCAAAAATATGTATATATTTGATTGGACTTGGATCCAAAACTATATTAAAATGTTATGTTAAATATATAGACGTATTACTTATATATTATTAAGTAAAAGTTTATATAGAGCCGAGGCTCGAGACCATCAAATTAGAGTCTACCTCAAAAATTCACGAGGTTGTATTGATGCTCAAATACCCTCAAGTTGATCATCTCGACATCAAGATGCATGATCATGAGAACAAAATAGGATCAGGTTTTGGAAATAGTGTATTTTACAATGCATTTTTGGACAATCAAATTTCAAGACTTTCATGATGGGTGCAGTTGGCATACGGATGCATCCATCGTTGTGGAGGTAAGGCACACCTTCAAATTTGATCATGGTATATAATTTTGATGTAAAATGTTCTTAGGATTATCTCAAAATCTATTTTTATATCTAACTATAAAATTTTAAATTTAAAAAATGGTTAAAATCAAGTAGATCTAACATGAAATATTGAAAATGGACGGTGCAGATAATATGTTGTAAAATGCACTGTTTTTTGAGACTTGAAATCTTTTTATTTTTCATGGTCATACGATCAATCAAAGGGTTTTTCAACATTAAAACTACCTTTTCCGATGTTGGGTTGGGTTTGGCCATCGGGTCCGGGTCCATTGCCACCCTACTTCCACGGCACAGCTTGTTCCATCTTGTAACATTTTATACCACTAAGGGAATCCGCTTCTAAGTCTAGCACAAATTCAATCCCTTCTGCTTAAGTATTTCAATTTTTAGGTGGAGTCTGGTCAGGTTCGCATTTGGCGAATTTGGGTTTGGCCTTACCCGGCCCAACCCGACCCCTTATTGTTATCTTTTGTTTGAACTGTGAAGCATCCAATGTTGCTTTGCCTTTTAGCTAGAAAAAAAATGCAATAAGATTGAGGACAAGATTTTAAATTTTTAAACACTTAGATCTAATGGTCCTTGTCCATTATTTAGAAGCTAATTTTTCCAAGCATTTGATTTGATTTTTTTTTTTTTTTTTTTGAGGTTGGTTACTAGCTTGTTACAAGATCCTAAAATACACGTGGTTACTGGATGGGACAATATGATTCATCATCGTCGCGATTGTTAAAATTTTTTTTCAACTAATTGAGGTTGAATATGAGCAATATGATTCCATAGCAAGAAATCCTTAGATATAGATACTACCATCTAGTACTTCGTATCTTTATCACCAAGTTACATATATTACAATGTAAACTCTCTTAAATTTCAAATTGAGCGCATTTATTAAATTCACTCAAAACAACTTCCCTCTGTAGCCCATTTGAACTCTCTTTATGCCATACATACCACTGTGAATGATGGACAACAGGATTAAACATAATTCTTGGTATTTGTGACAATATAATTGAGGGTCCTATGTATTTGTGACAATATAATTGAGGGTGTTGTTTGTATGGGATTGTCTACAAAGAGATCATTTATATTTAGGTGTGGTTTCTATAAGGTTGCAACCTTAAACAATCTAAATAAGGCATACCTCCAAATTTTGTCATAACTTGTATTTTTGTTGTAAAAAAATCTTAAGATTATCTTAAAATCCATTTTCATATCTAATTAGAAAATTTTAAACTCCAAAAATGGTTAAAATCAAGTAGATATATAAACATATGAAAGTCTTGAAAATGGACAATCTAGATAATGTGTTGCCAGATGCACTATTTTGGGACTCAAAAGCTTTTTTTTTTTCTCCATATTTATACATCTCGATGTCGAGATGATGAATTAGAGGGTTTTTCAACATTAAAACAACCTTTCCGATGGATTTTTGAGGTGGTTACAACCTTATATAAACTTTTGCCTTTATCTTTTGTACATTGAGGTCACAATTATTCTCACTCATTAGATGTCAAATTTGATAGCTTGGGGTAAGTCATGAAGTTCGAGAAATTTTTTTTTGGAACTGTGTGTGTGTTTAAAGATACTCTTGCAACCACCCATTTTGAAACTTTAGGGACAAGAATGATTATAATTTCCTTATACAAAAGATAAATGGTCTCTTTGTAAGGAATCCCGGTTTATATAAGGGGTCAAGACTAAACAATTAAAGTAGGATCCGATTTTGAACCTGATTGAAAGATGCAATTTCGATATTGGAAACCGCTATAATGGTTTGAAAATCTATTTCAACTTTTAATTATAAAAATTTAAAGACAAAAAATGTACATTGAGCGGATTTATAAACACTTAAAAATCTTGAAAATAGACGGCCCATATAATAGGTTACAAGATGCATTTCTTTTAAGACTTTAACTCTTTTTTTATCCATATCCATGCATCTCAAGGTTGAAATGGTCAATTAGAGGGTCTCCTAACAATGAAAGAACCTTTTCTCATCAGGTTTCGAGGTGTTCTTGCTTTACGACATAAGGTTAACACTTTATATAAATTTTTTTCTATACCTGATATCCACTCTCCATTTACAAGAGTGAGTTGTGGCTGAATGTGGTATATTTTTACACAGATTGTCTACTAGTATATTATATACTTTTTGTAGGGCATGGTCACAATCACTCGTAGCGGTCAAATGTTAAATATGTCAGCTTGAATACTTTATGAAGCCCGAGAAATTTTGTAGATAATTTAGCCCATTTAATTGTACATTTCCAGTTATACAATTGCAAAACATTGCACATCTCCATCCATTTGATTTACATCTAATAACTGAAATTGGTTGTGATCTCCTTATACTACAGATAAATTATGTCATTATATACCTTTCCCCCCAAAACAACATCTTCTTTAGTCAACCTTGCTTGATCCATATAATACTGATTATTTGTATGGAAACATATACATGGAGACCATTTACTTTTGATATAAGGAGGTCACAATTATCATCGACTGTTACATTTGAGATCGGGTGGTTGAGGGTGTGTTATTGTTTGGGCACAAAGTCCGAAACAAAATATCTTGAATGTTATCAGACAATTTCATCTATTGGATTTCACATTCAATGGTCAAAAGTAATTGTGACCTCCTTGTACAAAAAATAGTGGTCTCATAGTGACAATATATTTTTATTTCCACCATAGTTTTCTGGAAAGGATAGGTAATATAAGTAACATGCAGTTGCCAACACATGCAAGTACGTGCTTATAGTAATAGATTAAGCACAAATCAATCCCTTAAAATATAACTTTCACTGAGGTCCTGTTTGATTTCCAAGAAGATTGGATGTCATATTTTCACCTATATACAGTCACTAAAGTTGAATCACTAAATATCAATCAGTTCTCCAAAATCCTATTAAAAATAAAAAAAACAAGTAAATCAATCCAGATAAAAAGACATGCAACTCAAAATTGTAAGAACTATAACTTGTTGACATTAAATTAAACCAATATTAACTAGGCAGTTGACTAAGAACAAAATTTTACAACTGCCAATCAAACATAAACCTGGTGATTGATCCACCACACTGGGTCCTGGTCTAGATCCACCTCTATGCAACATATAATAGGAAACCCTAAATGGCTTCTCTCTGAACTTTACAGACATGATACAACTTAGCAACATATTATAACAAGAATTTCATAAGGAACACAAACATATCTAATGAACCCCTTTATGCTCATGTCCTTATTTTCCACTTCATTCTTGGCTACATATAGTTGTCCTTCAGTTGATGACCATGATTCCTTTCACTATCTCTTTGCCACAATTGTCACATATGGGCGATCCTTACAAATCTAACATTGTCCTAGGATTATGCGGATAGTCGAGAATCATCCTAGAAGAATGCTTTGCATGGCGTAGCGTATCAAACTGAAAATGGTTTTTTGCACAAAAGGCTACGAATGCTTGCCGTGTGTGAAAAATTTCATTGTCTATCTCTTCATCATCCTTAATTTCTGAAGGAACGTTCATCTTGACCTGTAAGGAGTTAATCTATAGTAAAAAATCATGCTGGCTGAAATGCTAAGTGATGAAGCAGGAAAAACAATTTTGGAAGCATAACTATAACATAGTAGAAGAGAAGGGAAAGTACAATATAACATATTTTGGAGAAACCATTTTCCATTTGATCATCACCATCCAATGTTATAATGGACTTTGATGGATAGATGGGGTTTCCATGTCATGTTCAAGTGCATTTTACATTCTCTCCATCACTGCCCATCTTTTATATGGTCCACAATAACCCAATGGACTATGAATTTATACTTTCACATTTAAGAAACCTATAAATATTAGCAGTTGAAATGCATAGAAGATGGTCCATGCATGCTGAAATCAAATGAGATAGTCTGTATATAATGGTGCTACTTACAGGAGTTACGGCACATGTTTTCATTTTGTTATTGGCATGCCAATCCTTCTCATGAAGTTTTTGTTCTTCGTCGTAGCAACTACAAGAGGAACATAAAATTAGCCAACATTTTCATCATTCAAAAGTGAGAAATACTTTTGCTGGAAGTACATAATGCATCAATGTCATAATAATTGAATTTATAAGTAAAGTTATTGTAACTTCTTGAACATGACCAGTTAGGTTCAGTTTTGCGCTATCTGGAGTACAATATTAATTTCTATATAAATGCTAAAGAAATGAGGCAGAAGAAGGATTAATCCTACTTAATTATTGGCAATACTCCAACTCCCAATTACAAAAAATCCTACTTAATTATTTTGATTGGTGCTTTTCTGCCACTTCCCTTTCAAAACTGGTTTTTAAATTCTAGTCATCTCGGAACCAACAATGTCTTAATAATCATTTCTAGAGAATACTAATAATCACCTTCTTCATTTATGGTGCAAATAAAACCCCTGTGACACCATTCAGTTTAGGCCTCTGCAGATGCTTTTCTTTCCCACTTTAAACAAAATCATACATGATACTATTTTCAAGGATCACAAGTGTTCATCTTGATATTAACACTTGAAAGTATTGGTAAAAACATTCACTTAAATTGATAATTGTGAAAATACATTAATTAAATGAAGATCAGATGGAAATAAGCACTTACTTCTCACAAAGACAAAAATTTTCATCTGGCTTGCAATCCCGGGTCTTCCCAGTTAGTACAAACTGACCACAGTGGGTGCATGCATACTGCATGTGGACCATGATGAACTCTTTCTTCTTTTCACTAATGGAATCTGCAAGCTGGCAAAGGTAAAAAAATGTAAAAAACAAAAAAAGAATGAATTACATAAAATTATCAGCTCATAAAAAGATAGAAAAAAATGTTAAAAAATCCCCAAAAATCTGAAGCACAACTAACTCATGATGATATAATATCTGTGTAGAAAACTGGCATCTAAGATCAATTTTGGTAAGTTGGTCAAGCATGTTTATGGTATAACAGTTCGATTGGAAAAAATGTTGAATTTAAAACGTTATAGGTAGAAAAGACAAAACAGTTCGTACTTTCTGCATCAATACTACCTTTGAAGCATCATTTGCAACTACAGCTCGGGTTGGATTTTCTCGAGCCACTTTAGAAGCTGGTCTTTGTCCACTTTTCCACCTTTTTTTGCCTTCTTCTCTATGAATATTGGCAATAGTATACTCTGCCTCTCTAGGAAAGTAGTCTCCATCAAAATATGGCACACGACTGATGGTAACCTTCACATTCTTTTCACATGAATGCATAAAGAGCTGCTCATACATATCCATCTGCTCCACTACAATATCTTCATTTTTGGCCTTCTCTATCATTTTAAGATACCTATGAAACAAATAAATACTTATTATACTCTGGTTCATTCTGTGCTTCATTACAAGACAACACTTTAAGCTCTAGATACTGGCATTTCTAGATTGCAATCTAGCATTTATTGGAACGATTGCATGTAAGAATAGATGAGGTCAAATACATGCGCATGTGCTTTCACACACCTACATACACACACACACACATATATAT